ATGGAAGGACCGCTGGGCTAAGTGTGTGGAGTCACAAGGGGCCTACTTTGAAGGCGATTAGGTATTGTAACCACCCAGATACAGAACTTTTTTTCCCAGCCCAAGGTCGGATACTTTTTGGACAGAGTAGTATATGATTTCTAGTTCTCAAAGGATTCTAATCACTGATTCTAATAGCTAGGAAACAGTAGAACTGTCACTTTAATTTTACACATTCAACATACCTACCATTTTGGATTGCGACATACAATTGCCCCTTTCATGCAAATGGGGGGGGGGGCACAAACACTAGTCTGCAGCAAGAAAAGTAAATACTTCACACCTCAAGATTTCACAGCAGATACTGTAGGTTGTATTCTAAAATTATAAAAATACCAAGAAATTCTGAAAAGAACTAATCACCTACTTTCCTTTCACTACAATTTCAGTACCTGATACAAAAAAAAAAAACACCTTTAGTATGTATGTGTAATGAAGTTAATACTACAAACACGATTTTTATAGAACTACAATTGCACATGTAATAATACAAATAATACTGTTTAACTTGCAGTTCAGTACTGTAGAGAACATACCCTCTCTATTTCCAGCAGAAGTTGTTTGGCTTTGCGGGAGTCCCTCTGAAGTGACTGCAATGTGGAGTCAAGACCTTCATGAGAGACAACATCAGTGTCTATTATTTGTCTTGGTGTTGTAACATTTCCAACCTACAGAAGAACAAGAATACATCCGAAACTAGCAGTGCGTTATTTTTGTCAGTGTTGAATATCTAATTAATTCCACAGTCTAAAGTCTGTCTTTAGAAGATACATCACTCAGCCAGTCACTAAATATTCAGCTTTTCATGCAACCCAAAGGTGTGTCCACAACACCCTATGCCAATGAGCCCTAACCCAAGCCAGATGAGACTAGCTCACTTCTTCATAACCTGTTTCTCTAAGATATATGTGAATATTATTTTCCCATTAGCTCTGACTATTAGTGGCAAATTTAAGAAAACTATTTAACTTTGGATAACTGAACTGAATTGAATTTATTTACATTCTATAAATCCTAAGCAGGTTAGTACCTTTGGATACAGAACAAGTCAAAAGGTTACATACATAAGTACAGGCAATTTTAGCTTAAAAATTAATATAACTTAATTTTACATCATTCTCTATTTACATTGAAGTATTCATCTAAAGAGTAGAAGGAATGAGCATGTAGATAATTCTTTAACTCTGATTTAAACTTTTTAGTATCATTGCCCAAGTTTTTAATACTTTGTGGCAGATTGTTGAACACTTTTATGCCAGTAAAGTAGACTCCTTTTTGATATACTGATAAAGTTGATGAGGGTAGGTGGAAGTTATATTTTTGTCTAGTATTCATGTTATAGACATCAGAATTTAATTTGAATTTATCTTTGTTGTAAACAACAAATAGGAGAAGCGATAATATGTATTGCGATTGAAGCGGTAGAATTTTTAATTTCTTAAATAATTCTCTACATGAATCTCTACTTCTACATCCTGTAATGATTCTTATTATATTCTTTTGTATTTTAAAAATTATTACACTATGTGAAGAGTTCCCCCAAAATATTAATCCATAGTTCATAATAGAATGAAAGTAGGCATGGTAAACCATCTTCAATGTTTCCTGTGACATAAAAGGCTTAATTGATCTCATCGCATAGCAAGCTGCATTTAATTTAGGTATAATTTGTTCAATATGTATTTTCCAAGACAGTGTACTGTCTACATGTATTCCAAGGAATTTTGTATCAAGTACTTTACAGATTAATTTGTTGGCATAACTGATGTCCAGATCAATTTGGTGGTTGTTTTTAGTTGTGAATGATATGTAATGGGTTTTATCAAAATTTAATGAGAGTAAATTGGCTTCGAACCATCTGTTTAAGGCTTCAAATACAATATTTATGTCATTTTTAAAGTTTTCAAATTTAGAGTTCTTAAATATTATACTAGTGTCATCTGCATATAGAATTGGTTTAGATTTATTGTTGATGGTTTTAGATAGATCATTTATGTAGAGAAGAAAAAGTAAGGGACCTAAAATTGATCCTTGTGGAACACCGTGCTTTATAATTCCCCAGTTTGAAAATGCATTATGACTGGAGTTTTTATTATTTATTTCAACTCTTTGATACCTGTTTTTGAGGTATGATTTGATCCATTCATTAGCTTTGCCAGTTATTCCATAGAAATTTAATTTCGATAGTAAGATATCATGATTAACACAATCGAAAGCTTTTGCTAGATCACAGAAAATCCCTCCCACAATTAATCTGTCATTGAGAGCACTTAAAATATCGTTAGTTAGTTCATAGGTTGCTTTTTCTGTTGTTAGGTCTTTCCTAAATCCAAATTGCTCTTTGACTAATATGTTGTTAGAATTTAAGTGTTCAAGTAGTCTATTATACATAACTTTTTCAAAGACTTTTGAGAATGAAGTCAATATGGATATTGGTCTGTAATTAGAGATGCATTTTCTCTCTCCTTTTTTAAAAAGTGGTTTCATTACAGCGTATTTTAAGCGTTGAGGAAAAGTACCTGATGATAAAGATTTATTACATAGATGATTCAAGGGTGAACTGATGTAAACAGAGCTTGCTTTAAGTAATTTGGTAGAGATTTCATCATATCCATGTGAATTTTTGGGCTTAAGGGATTTAATAATGTTTTCAATTTCCTTCCTTGTTGAGAATTTGAGATTGATATTTGGAAATGAATTGTTAAAGGCACGAGACAGATAGTATATTGGATTATTATTATTATTATTATTATTATTATTATTATTATTATTATTATTAGTATTGTTGTTATTGGAATATGTTTTCTCAGCTAATGAAAGGAAATATTCATTAAATGCACTTGCGATAGCTTGTGGATTGTTAGTGGACTTCCCTTCAATATTCAAACTTTGTACGTCTTCATTAACAGATTTCTTTCCTGATTCAACTTTCACAATATCCCAGGTGGTTTTAATTTTATTGTTTGATTTTAGAATTTGGCTGTTATAGTTATTCTGTTTGGCTTCTTTAATGACTTTTGACAAAATTTTACAGTACATTTTGTAGTGACTTTTTAGTCTTGGATCATTACTGTCCCTACTGGCCAAATATAGTTGTCTTTTGTGTTTACATGAAGTTTTTATTCCAATTGTTATCCAGGTGGATTTGTTTTTATTTTCATTTTTGACTATTTTTAAGGGAAAGCTTGAATAAAAGATCCTCAAGTATGTGTTCAGAAAGCAATTAAATTTAGAATCAATATTATTGCTGTCAAATACATTGTCCCATGATTCATTACTTAATTTTGTGACAAAATCTGCCATCGTATGCTTGTTGATTTTCCTTACTGTTTGATATTGTTGATTACTGGGCTGAAGGTCAATATTATTTATTTCTATGAGTTGAGCATCATGATCGGATAAGCCATTTATAAAGGGTCCTACAGTATAGTCTCTTAATTTTGAGTTATCAATGAATATATTATCTATCGCTGAACTAGAATTATTTTGAACTCTTGTGGGAAAGTTAACAGTACTGGAGAGATTGTAAGATGATAACAAAGAGTCTAAATTTAGTTTCCTATTACTGTCGATGAGATAGTTTATATTTATATCACCACAAATTATAAATTCAACTTTTGAACTATGCAGTACATTTAGGATGGTTTCTAATCTATTTATAAAGTGATCGAAGTTTCCAGATGGGGCTCTATATAAAGTCAGTATACAAATATTAGAAAAAGGAGAGTCTAACTTTAGAGCACATGCTTCCAGATCCTGGTCTTTGCAATAATCTTCTAAATTTATTTTAGTAAATTTTAGGTTTTCATGTACAAAAATACTCACTCCTCCTTTCTCCAGTGTTTTCCTACAGTATCTAGCACCTAAATTATAATTTTCTAAGTGAAGATGTTCTAATTCCAGCTGTTTCATGTGATGTTCAGTAAGGCACAGTATGTGTGGAAGATTTGAATTCATGGAGCTTATTAGTTCATTTGTTTTGTTTCTCAATCCTCTTATATTCTGATGGAATATTCTTAGTACTTTATTATTCAGTGAATTTAGTAGACTGCAATTACCTTTTCCGATTTCTATTGGTTCACTAACATTATTGCCTGAAAGATTAGTTTCTTTTGCAATTTCTTTTACCTGATAAACTTTACTTGCACTCTTTATCCTAAAAAATGATTCTGAACACCCATGACAACTGGAATGTGTCTGCCCTTAATGCTCTCTGCAATGAGTCGCGTCAGCTTGTCCTTGCCTCGAGGATTAAGATGCAAACCATGGACAGTATGTTCGCTCCTCAATATTGAAGAGACATCAATCGCATCAATGTGGGCCGCGCCGACCTCCACAAGCGAACGCTCAAGCCGAAGATTAATCTCCCTTACACACCTGTTAATCCATGGCTTGTCATGTCGCCAGAAAAGACCAACAAACCTCACATTGGTGTGACTAGTTTTCTGGGCAATGTCACTTAAATCTTTCTGTTTGATAATTGAGGTTTCTCTCCAAACTGTTACCTGGCCCCCCAACTATAACTACCTGATCTTCCTTACTAAAACCTTTAAATGCCCTGGGTATCCATACCAAAGATTTTCTTTGGTGTCCACCATCATTATCAACCTATTATTTAAAAAATACAGAATCCTTGCAATTAAAAATTGCTACAAATTGATTAACAACCCAAACAACCATCTGCTCACTCAATAAAACCACCAGTGTCATTTCTGACATTCTCCCCATACAGGACATCAAATTCAAAACACAATCTGTACATGTACTATACCTGAAGTTTTCCCAGAGAATTTTCAAACTGTGCTGGAGTGTACACTCGTGACACCCCTTGCTGCTGATCAGATCTCTGATCTCTATCTCTGTGGCTGTCTCTCCGCTCTCTATGACCAAAGGAATCATAAATTTCTCCACTTTTTTTGTTATTGTTATTCTTCCTTGGCTGTCTTGAGGAAAATACCTGCAAATCATTATCTGTTAGAAAGGCAGACCAACATTCAATATCACCAACATTACACTATAAACCAATATGCATTCATCATGTATTATCTGTTAGAAAGGCAGACCAACATTCAATATCACCAACATTACACTATAAACCAATATGCATTCATCATGTATTAATATGCACACACTGTACAGATACATGTGTGTATCTTAGCTTTCTGCCATTAAAACAAGGAAGATGAAACACACAAGGCAGGAAGGAGACAAAATTTTGATATCATGTAGATTCTAAAGGGTTCTGAAAATGAAGTATAGCACTTGGGGTTGCTGAATTTTTGGATTTTATCCACTGTCCAGTATTTCTGAAAGTGGATCTGTTTCCATCCTCAAGTGATGGGTTGGGAGATACATACGGGCCCAACAGAGTAGGTGTCTCCCATTCCATCCCCTGAGGATGCAAACTGGTCACTATGAAACATTACTGGATTAAAGCCCAACAACAGATACAGTACATTTGTCAAGAAATCTTTAAATTATTTTGCAGTTATTTATTTCAAAATAATGTAAATGATTTAAGTATGCATTTTGTAAATGACAAAAGCCATATATGAATATGAGTAAAGTGTTTACATAAGTCTCTTTTTAGCAGCTGATATTAATGTACACTAAAAACAGGTGGTGGGAGAAGACATAGAACTGCATTATGAATCTGTTTGCAGGCTTCCACTATGACAGAGAAAAATAAAACCATACAGATATGTTATTATTACCATGTCTCTGTAAGTACAACTAAAATGTTCACAATAATTAGATTTCCATGGGTCTTCAAAAAGTCTGATTTCAAACCACCACTGATCAACTAAGGACAGAGAAAACATTACATAGTATTGTGGTATGTGCATATGTTGTTTATGGGCCTAGTAACCCATGCACAACACTGTCATACCATGTAGTAGTAGTCATCAATGTAAGGCTGGCTGGTATTGAGTTGCAACAACTGGATATTCAGCAGCCACTGTTTCTCTCTGGTTGTCATGAGGCCGGCATATTCATCATAGTCTCCTGATCCATTCTCTGTGTGATGCTGATGCTGTCTGTGGCTGTTGTAGTTGTTATAGTGACAGTTATAATTGCCTCGATGACCATGGTGTTGATTGAAGCTGCCATTTGTAGAGCGATTATTGATATAATGAGAACCCATCACATTGTCAGGTCGTAGTGTGAACTGCCCTGGAATTGGCATTCGGTGATCAACCAATCTTCCCTGTAACATATAAATGTTTGAATATTAGAGATATACCTAATTTGTAACGACAATTACATTTCCAAGAAAAGACTTGGATCACCACCACATTCCTTCATCCATGGCTGCTACCAACTTCTTTTCCATGAAAGTCAACTTTTAACAAATTGGATTTAAATCCTTCCTGTAGGCACCCATGGCCTAAATTAAATGAAGGAATTTCATTTAAACTGTGTCCCCTTTCCAACAGACATAAACTTCTCTAAAATTACCAATGACAATGTGAAACAAAAGGTATTTTAAAGCAAGAGACTGAGGCATGAAGCTATTATTGGGGGGGGGGCAGCCATGGTCTAATACAAGGTACTATCCTAGCATCTGCCTTGCGGGACTGAAGGAAACCATAACCACTGTTCTGGCAAGACTCAGATCACTCACCTCCTAAAGAGAAGTCACAAGCATTACCACACGAGCCAACATATTCAGTTATGACATTTTAAGACTTGCTACCGTGAAGAAAAAACAATGGGCAGAACTCAACTATATGAATAATTTTCAAAGTTCAAATTTAGGCTGCCTGTCAGAACTGTGTCCAGAAATCATCCCACAGGAAGAAATTCTGAATAAACATATATAATTAAGACGTTACTGTACATGGCATCTATATGAAAATGTATACGGAAAACATTCTGCGAAATGAGGAAACTATAGATCAATGTCAGTGTCTGCACAATGATAATGAGCCTATCAGCCCATAGTTTCTGGATTTATTCCCTAGATTTTAAGAGGAATACATAAATATGGAGAAAATAAAATATTTATAACATGAGCAAGGAAGCAGGAAAACAAAAAGAACAGGTATGAACACATTCAAGACTGGAATAAAAACAGACTCAAAAGATCCTGTGATTGTTCTAAATTATAGAACAGGAATAAACAGAGATTCAGGAAGAATGCTGTTCTTCACCCTCCATGTTCCCTAGTTCAGCCCTGTGACTTCTCTTCCCAAACATAAATCTCTTCTCTCACAGGAAGAGACTTGATGATTTCTTTGTGATCGTCGAAAAATCACAGTATTCAAAACACAGAGTTCCATAGATACTTAAAAAAATGGGAGAATTTCTGGACTTGTATCATATCCTTCTCTCTTTTTCTCCTGTTGCTTCCACTTTGGAGCATAGGGCATCCGTGAATCCCGTTGTTTCACTTCAGTTTCTTAATCGTATGACAGTTGGTAGGACTCCTTGGATGGGGGATCAGCCCGCTGCAAGGCCACTACTTACACAGGACAATACGACAACACAAACACAGGCTTAATGCAGACAAACATCCATGCCTTGAGTGGGATTCAAACTCATGATTCCAGTGCTCAAGCGAGCAAAGACAGTTCATGCTTTGGACTGTGCGGCCACTGTGATCGGCTGTATCACAACACAGGTGATCTATTTTAGGTGGAGTGGAAGCTGTGCTAAATGCCTAATTAAGTAGCTTATTGTGAAGACATATTGCGGAGTGGAGGCACAGGTCCAGACATACTTAACCTCAGCACTAGATGGAGGTGAGTGGTCAGCTTCATGCCCTGGTTGCTTTACCCCAGGGAAAGAGCCCATGGTACCCACTGGATCAAAGGCTGGGTGGGCCCCAGAGCCAGTCAGGATGCTGTGGAGAAGAGAAAAATCTCTTACCCCTGCTGGGAATCTAACCCTGATTTCATAATTGTCCAGCCAGTAGCCTCGTTACTACTCATACATCAAATGAACTAACCTGGATCCATTCTGAAGGAAACAGTATGGAGTAGTAATTAAATACAATAAGTACAAGGAAATAAGTTCATTCTGGAAAATACTGTCACATATTGTGACCAGACACAGGGTTTGGGTCAGTAATTAAAGTTATTTAACTCTTACAAATTGTAACTCCGTGTAATTATAGCGCTCTCACTAATTCACGCACTTGATTCTTCATTACAGCATATGCTAAGTCTTCCAGGTCTTTATTAGCTGTTGCCTGGAAATGGATCCCAATAGTTTCCTCCACTTATATCATTGCCGGCTGGCCACCACCTCACAACAAAGTGATTCATGATGGTGATGACTCTCAACTTTTACTAGTCCTCACTATACAGCCTCAGGTAAGATCCAATAGAAAACACCATTTCCAACAGTTCCTCTATTGTTGTCTTTACATCTGTTATCACAGAAGCCAGCTGTTAGCACACAATGGGCAGTTTCTTCTCGCCCTCAGGTGTCATGTCATATTATTTTACCACACTTCACAGAACAATGTTCCCTCCCCAAAACTTTTTTATTATTTATGGCTGGGCATTGCAGATGTGTCAATGAAGACAAGCTGTTGCATACCACATAGCATGTTCAATAATACTGTATCAACTGCATACTGTCATGTGTAGGGTGGTACGCGCAATGAAAATAACGGGTTCTAGTTCGGATGATTGGATTTATTAGCCGCTTGGTGACAAGTTCTCTTAATCACATTCAAATACAGCACTATCACTGATTTGCATGTACGTATGCATGCTCTCCTCTCCTCGCGGTTGCCCTCTTCTTTGTCACGTACAGCGGCTGTTTTCCGCCTCGGTCCTTTGTTCCCTTTTTTCCTTCACAGTGTGTCCGTAAATTCTTCTTGAGCAGCCCTGCTCTCTGGGTTGCTCGCTCACCCTTGGCCCTGGTTGCAGCCCTTTCCCATGACACCTCTCCTGAGCCATGCCACTCCTGTACAGAGGGTCATCCTCCTGCTGCAAATGGTCACTCTCTTCCAGGATCCACAATATCCCCAAGTCCTTTCCTTAAGCTTCTGGTGGCACTCCACAGCCAGATTCTGGTCCCTACACCACTTCCTCATTTGTCCGACTGGAATCATTGCAGCTTCTCCCTTGGGGACCTCTCAATGCTTCCCTACGGACTGCGTCATTCAGGATCAGGCTCAAACGTCTCTGTATCTGCCTCCATTGCTTCATGGCAGGCCTTTGTATCCACTGAGGTTGGCTCCTCACATTCCAGACATGCCTCTGTCATTTCTTGGCAAGCCGTCCTCTCTTTCCACTGGGCATTCCTATTGGCTTCTGTCCTCTTATCTTGCATGGCTTCCATTTCTGCCTCTATCTTGGCAATCATCTTGTGGTTGAAATCCAGTCTGGCCAGCAGAATTTCTATCATGTGTTGCATCTCCATTTTCATATAACAGTGCTGCAAATATGCAATTCAATAATCATGTCAACTGATGAAATCCGACCACTTCTAACACCAGCTGTCATATATTTATGGTCATAACCACTGTTGGTGAATCCAATACAATCTGAACCACCAACTTTTGACACCAAAATGTCACGTGCAGGGTGATACATGCGAAGAAAATGATGGATTCTAGTTCAGATGATTCGATTTATTAGCACCTTGGTTACACTTTCTCTTAATCACATTCAAATACAGCACTACTGCTGATTTACACACACATACTGGTCCTCTCCTAGTACCATAACTAAAACACAGGAATTGCAACAGTCACTGAATCACATGCCCCAAGTGTTACATATGAATGAAGCCTTCTAATCACACTTTAAGTCTTCACAGGTCGACGAACTTTCCGTGGCTCTCCTCTGCCGAGAACTCAGAACTGAACTGAACTGTAGTGCAGTTTGTTTTTTAGATAACTCCTTTGCACGGTCTCAATGGAAAAACCATCTCCCACTGTTGTGGATGCATGTTTACTACTGCATTGCCTGGCAACAGACTTCCTATATATCTGCGCTTCTGCTCGGTGCAGACAGTATAGAAAAGTCTCTCTACTGTGAGGTTTGCTTACCGAGCCATTAATTAGCAATGTACTGGCCATCCACGTCACATTATGTTTGAAGTGAAAGGAATGCAAGGATTACTAGGCATGTTGACTGGACAGGATGGGGTACGAAGCAGAAATGATCCATTTCAAAACAGAGTATCTGGAAACGTAGCAAAGGCATGAAAAATCTTAGTCATCATAGCTAGTACCTGGCTCAAATGTGAACCTGAATACAAACACTGCAACTTAATGACATTGAGTTTTATTTTATTATTATTAAAATATTTCTGTTTTGTGTATATCTTTTACCTTCTCTTGGGTTATCACATACCCCTGTACCTTCGTAACTTGAGAGCATTTCCAAAGCTTATTTTCATCCACTCTTAAAATATCAGTTTACAACTGATATACATAGTAGAAATACAAGACATTGTTTTAATCTTAATTTTTATCAACCTATAGTTCATCTATCACTATACCTGAAGGGATCATACTGTATGGGTATCAGATTGTTTAATAGCTTACCCTTATATCTAAAGCAGTTGTTCACTAATTGTAAAGATTTTAAAATTGCTTTGAAGGATTTCTTGATTTCTCATTCATTTTATACTTTGGATGAATATTTTGAATGTTGCAGATCGAAGGATAGCATTTCCTTGTAGTAATTTATGTGGATGAGTACATATATGTCTGTGGTTTGTTGATTGTTACCTAAATTTGTGGTATTTTAAAAGTTATGATTGATATTATGTCAGTCTATTATAAATTTTGTATTTTAATTATGGTATTATTGCATGTGGCATAATCCTGTCTTGCTTGTTTTGTTTTGTATCTTGTAACACACTTGTTTTATTATCCCTTGGCTTGTTAAAGCCAAGTGGGATTAATAACGTGAGTAAGTTATTCTTAATGTATGTTTATTTTTATTAGATTCTTTTACCTTACATTATTATTTATGTTTACTGATTGATGTATATGATTTTGATCTTGTATATGCATATTGATATCTGTATTCAAAGGACAATTTCCACATCCTGGTTTTTTAACTTGTAGGGATATATATGGAAAATAAATGGACAATGACAATGACAATGACAATCACACCAATTCTTCAGATTATTTCCTTTCTCATATTATACAACAGATATTCAACTGGTTCTGTATTTCTCTTAAAATGTAGGTGGATAAATCCAACCACTGTAGATTCATGAGATCACTGCCACTGTACAGACAACAATATTCAGTTTCCTCATGTCTCAAGATGTTTTACATATAGATATATTTTGAGTCTGATCAGCTGCAGTTACCGTATTCAATGTGACACAACCTACTAAAGTTGGAGGCTTTAAAGTACTTACTTACTCTTACTTACTCATAGAGCTGCGTCCTTCTTGAGGAGATGCCAATTCTCCAGCTACTCAGGAATTTCCCAGCACTCAAACTCCAGAACTCAAAGGTTCATTACTGTATTCACAAGAGCCCTCCACTGGCCCCTATCCTGAGCCAGATCAATCCAATCCATACCATACCATCTCATCTCTCTGAGATCCATCTTAATATTGTCCACCCACCTACGCCTTGGTCTTCCCAGTCTTCTCCTTCCTTCTGGCTTTCCCACCAATATCCTACATGCATTCCTCCTTTCAAATATTCATGCCACATGCCCTGCCCACCTCATCCTTCTTGAGAGGCTTTAAAGTAAAAGAAGGAGAACAGCTTCCATATAATTCCACTTAAGATTCTGGTATTTGTTTGTTTGCACTGACCTGAAAACCCGTCCTATAGGCCAAGTTGTTGCAATGTGGGTGAAGGGATCGCAAAATACCATTTTCTGTAGCAAAGCCTTGTTGTCCCAGAGATTTGGTGCTGTCCCTGAGAGACTGCTGTGATGGCAGCATCAGATGTGGAGGCATAAAGTGTAATAAATTTGGGGCAGACCCTACATGTAAAATCAAAGAAGAAAGTAATACCAAATATATTAGTTACTGTTATTTATGGTTTATTTAACAAGTTACTCATAGCAGCATCAAATGGTGGAATGATCAGTGAATTATGAACTGGAAAGGCTATGGAAGGAAGTAGTCATGGCCTAATACGAAGTATGACACTTTTATCTCTTTGGAGGGACTGAGGAAAATTGAATAACCTTAGTAATAATAGCAGATCTCTTTGTTGAGATTTAAATGTGAGATCTCCTGAATAAAAAGCAGTGACTGGTAATCACCTGGATGTGCTGTTCAGTGTTTCTATTAGTTATTTTTCCAAATCCAGGTCTGCACAAATTTCCTATAAATTTATGACCTACCTCCAAAAACTAGGAGCCAGAATGAAAACCAAAATACAATGAATGAGGAATTTACTGTTTTATTAACAAAAGGATAAATAAAATATCCATGGCACATGGTAGTATAGTTGGTTGAGGCACTATCCTACAAGCCGGAAGGTCATGGGTTCAAATCCCGATGAGGTTATTGGATTTTTTCAATTGACTTAATTCTACCGGCTGCACTATGGCCCTGGGGTCAACTCATCCTCTAACAGAAATGAGTACCTGGAATATTCTTGGGAGTAAAGGGCGGCCGGCGAGTAGGGCTGACAACGTTGCTGCCATCTATGAGCCAACTGTCTAGAAAATGTGGGAACCTCAACATCTCACAATCCTATGGGTCTCCACGGCCTTTTACAGGGATACCTTTACTTTTACCTTACATATAAACAAAAGCCTGTTCCTTTCATCCTAAGGAGAACCCTAACATTCCATTGCTAGGACAGGAATAATAGGATGAACAACNAACAAAGAAAAAGAGGAAGGGTTCAGAGGAAACTGTTTTGACGTGATGCAGGAGGAGGAGGAGGAGGAGGAGGAGGAGGAAGCAATGATGAAAGTCAGGACAAATAAAAGGAATGTAGCAGGAAGAAGGGAGATGAGGATATAAATGGGATTAAGAAAAAGTAGAAAGGTTTCCCTCCATTTCTGATGGCTCATGCACTAATATAGGGACACCCCAATTTAAGGAACCCACATTCTGTTTTCCTGCATTTAAGGTACATTTTTTTTGTGTTCCCAGTATTAGCTCCATATGCCTAATGCATTATGTCATCTGATTTACTGTTTCTTGATTTAGGTGTTTACTCATATTTTACATGCAAAACTTTGATCTTTATGCATGTTTTTTTATCTTGTTTTAGCACTGAAGGGAATTCTTTTGCATTTTCCAAATCACACACAGATTAGTAGGGTAGACAGCATGGCTGCCCCTCTTATGTCTGTTGGAAGTAATCGTAATTTCTGTTTGTTCTGTTTGTGTTGCATTCAAGTGTCATAGCTTCTTTTTGAAAGTGATTTTGAAGTAATAAACAGCCATCGCTTTGAAAAGAATGAAAAATAAATCAGGAAGTTGAGAATGTTAAGAAGGTGTATGATTATCCATCTGTGTCACAGAATTAAACTGTGAGGTGTTCTGTACTGCCTCTATTATCATTACATAACACAATTCTCCAGAAAGCTTCAGTTGGGCCACATTCTGAGAAACAAATTATTATTTTATTAAATGAACAAGGTTCTGTACCTTATTATTGATTTAACTATGTTTATCAGCCATTTTAGGCTCTGTTTTCCCAAACCCCCATTTAAGGTACAAAAAAGTTGTCCCACAAACAAATCTCAAATCAGGATTTTACTGTAGTAATATAACAGGAAGCAAATTCTAGGTGACATCATTAAAATATTGTGTGTCATGGTGATCTTGCACCTGTCTATAATTACATTTAAAATTTTAGCACTGTTTGTTTATTTAATACAAACTCATTTACCCATTAGTCTATGATTTTGCTGCTGCAGTTGACAAAGGTCTGGGACTCCCAGGGAAGCTGGGTGAGGACCCATGATGCTTGAAGGCAACACAAGCTGCCCAAATGCTGGATTTCCAGCTGCACCACGACCAAGGCCCAAAACTGACTGCGGAGCTGGGCCCGTAAGATGAGAGGGGAAATGTGTGATGCCACTACCACGCCCTACTGCATTAACTGCTGTAGTGTTCTGAGTGTTCCGCATCACCACAGCATCCTATAAACAAAAAAATATTCACATTACTATGTAACATGCTTTAGGCAAATATGATTCCCTTGCATTGGGATCAAAAGTACCAGCACTGGAAACACAAAAGATGTCCAAACTGGAGACAGTTCAATCCAATCAATCACAGCAAAACTTATTTCCTTAAGATTCTTCACCCTACCTCCAGCAAAGCTGTAAACTGTCATTTTCAAAAACATTTCACACCAAAATTTGTATGTGTATCCTGTTGCTCCCCTCCAACAGCTTATTTCAACAGCCTTACAATGACTACCCTAATAGTGTTAAGTCAAAAGTAAGGGTAAAGTTATCTCTGTACTCAATTAAAATCCACGCCATGAAGACATATGAGGGAGTGGAGGTATAGGTCCACTATTCTTGATCTCAGCACTAGTTGGAGGTTAGTGGTCAGTTTCACACCACTTTACCCCAAGGGAATGAGCCTCCAGTACCCACTGGATAAGAGGCTGGCTGGGCCCCATAGCGAGTCTGGACACTGTGGAAAAGAGAAAAAAATATCTTGTCCCTGCCAGGAATCGAACCTCAGCCACTTAGCCCATAGCTATACCAACTGAGCTCTCCTGGCTCCTCCTAATACCAACTGAGCTCTCCTGGCTCCTCCTAAAAGTGTTAGCTGATATATTATTTTTTGGCAATTTTACGAGTATTTTGGTTTATTTTATAATATTATCTCAGACTACAGAACATTTAATGTCTGGAACAATGGCGAATTATGAAATGAAAGAAGTTGAAAGGAAAGAATCATGGCCTGAATGTGGTACTATCCCAGCATATGTAAAGAGCTACTGAGGAAAACCACAAGAAATTTCAGTCAGGATAGCCAGTGCCTCACCCAATTTTCATACATAGCACTCACTGAATACAAGTCTCCAGCATTACTGCTACACCAGTTTACTCAGTTTTTAACACTTTGCGGACCGGTCGCATAATATTATGCTTTTTGCTTTTAAACGTGGCAGACCGGTAGCATATTATGATTTTAGGACATGTTATGTTGCAACACACTATACCTTGCTCTGGCACCACCAGATGCATAACTGGTGCATAACAGACCTCCCGAATGTTTGCTTAGTAGTCAGTAACATGACCTCGCTGTTTTCCTATCCCACTCCAAAGGAAAACGCCTTTGTTCATCTTCAAGCTGTATGTACCAGGCAGTAAGTCAGTAGTGCAATATGGCTCAAGAACGAAAGCAGTGGAAGACCAAGCGATCTCTCGGAGAACAAGAAATATTGTTCTCCAATGAGCTATCTGACGTGCCTTGTGAGACGTGTAGTGATAGTGACTCAAACAGTGTCAGTGACAGGGGACAACAAAGAATTGTGGACACAGAGAGTAAAAGTGACAGTAGTTCTGATGAAAATGTGGGTAGTAACATTGCAGGGAGAGCCACATGGGGAAAAGTAGACAAAACGCCTACTTTGGGACAGTTTACTGGATATCCAGGGGTGAAACAAATTCCATCGGACCCCATGGGCTACAGACCAGATGGTGGCGGCAGAACCAGAGTCAGACACAGACTTAGTGCAACCAGGCCCATCAACTCCCACCCCACACAGGCTTCACGTGGACCCCCCTGGGCGACTCTTGGGTGATACGTGGAAACATATTGTCACGTATGGGGCGTATATNGCGCTGTGTTGCTAGCAACGCTAGCGGTAGTAACCGCTGTTACTACCGTCGTCTCTCGCAATCCTGGTTACCCGCGGTACACTTGGTGACGTCATCGCTGTTTGACTCGCGTTGCCTAGCGACCAGGATGCTAGGACTCGGCTAACTTCGGCTCACTTCGGCTTCGCTCGGCGCATCACGGCTGGCAGGGGGGGAGGGGCGTCATCCATAGCTCAACATGTCACAATATCCTCATGAAAATTGTGAAGAGTGAACATTCCAAGGGGAAGC